AGTGAATGCAAATCCCATTGTCCAAAGACTCTTGGAAGAAATCAGAGACAAAATTCATTATGGACAGTAAAAAATTCTTTTCATTAATGAGTTTTCCCTAACTTTTTTCTTTCCCACCCCGTCCCAATTTATAGAATCAACGTGAAATATCCTGCATCTCTATGTACATATTCAAATTAAGAGAGAAAACTGAGAGGATTACATACACAAGCTGGGCTTTTAACTCCCTTATCTATAAAAAGTCTCAATCAAGTGGGGTAGACCTCTACTTACAACTGGCATCTTTAGTCTCTAAGTTACTTTTCTTTTCAACACTTATTAATGGCAACACTCAGCAATAGTGCAGAAAAAAGTATCTGGCACCACAGATATGACCATATGACTGTGCACTAGGGTAACAAAGAACACTGAGGCAATGGACTCCATCATTCAAGCAATTTTTAAAAATTAACCTCCATTCTTAGGGTGCTCAGATTGAAGAAACAGAACAGGTCTATGTCATATAAACACTGACCTTAATCTTCTGTCTGACTTTGTAATGAACCTGACTTTCAAATGTGAAATAATGACTTTAAGAAATCCCCGAAACTTTCAAGCTATTTTGTTTAAATGCTTTTATAATGTAAGTCACAATAGGAAGAAAGATTAGATAGGTGCCATCAAATTACCAGAAAAACTTCCTCTGTTTTACTTTATTTAATGTGACACATAAAGAAAACCATTCACAAATATCTGTCTTTAATTTCTCTAGTGTAAAGGGGGGAATATATTGTGTCTGGCAGAAAGAAACAGTTAAAGTAGCCTGAGTACATTTTTAGAAAAGAGAGAAGGGAAGAAATCAGATGCACACAATGAGCCTTCAAAGCCACTCCAGCAGTAGAGATAAATAATTTAATAAAATCAACTTCATATTCTTTTAAAGTCTCCGGAGTAATAAGCACATATTAAAAAATAAAACTTTAAGTTCATGAACAGTTGTGACTAAACTAGCTGCTGGAAGATAATGAAAACACGAGGACAGTGTGCATGTGAGCAGTGTAACTGCTCAGATCCCTTATGAGCTTCCAGAAGGTTGCCACTGATGAAGTCAGTGAACTTACAAATCAAGTTTAAATAGTCATTAAAAACAAAACAAACTAGAAACCTTATTCCTACACTTCTGAACACAATGAAGTTTTTCTTTACCTCCTTGTAGGAGATTGTGTATGCATGGCTTTCCACAGGCCATGGAAGTGCACCCCCACTGGGACAGTCACTCAGGAAGCCACATTTCAGAAACAGTTGTCATTATTATTTGGGATGTTCCATTGTGTTAAAGTTCACAACATTTGTTTCATGTTCACAAATATGGCTAGATGTTATGATAACAGGCTTTTGTCTTTGCTGGATTTGTTTTCCCTAACTGGAATACTTTAAATCCAAGCTGCCTTAGTTAAACCTAAACACCATTCCAATGCAAGCATCTCAGCGGTTACATCATGAGATTCTTGGGTATTTCTTTTCCCTCCAATTAGGTCACTTTTCTTCAATTATCATTCTATTATTAGCTCACGGCAAGGATGCCTACATGCATACCATTGAAAACAATTCACCATTTATGTCTTAAAACGCAAGGCACACACAAGCTTTTCTTCTGAAACTCGGCAAGACTGTATCTAAAAAGTCGACTGGCATCAATCCAATTCTTATACAGACTATTCATATAATAAAACATATTTTATATCACTTGTGTATTAACATCATCAGTTCAAATAATCCAATAGGTCGAATGATTTTTTAAATTAAAATTACTATCAAGTAGTTGAATAATTTACAAAACATATCTAATGCCAAAACCTCGATTAAAGTCAGGTGAATTACACAAAAATACATCGTTAATTTTAATTCCTCTCCATGGGCAATTCAATTAAAGTAAGCACGAAGGGAAGGAAGCAGCCATCAGTGCAGTTTAGTTTTCCTTCAACAACGAGAGTCGTTGAGCTTGCGGAAAGGTTTCAGCTACAGGCGCAGTTCATTTCCCGGGTTCAGGGTAGCAGACGATCTGGGTAGCAGCAGCTAGAAAGACAATCCAGTGTTACTCTAAGCCGCCGGGTCAACCAACAACGACAATAGCCGCCTGGAGTCCAGTTTTATGTAAATCACTGTCAGCACCGGGCGTGGTGGGTGCTTTAGGACACCCGGCCGGCCTGGCCTTCCAGAAACACGTAGCCTCACTACCCCGCAACACTCCAGGACTAACGACTTTCGTGGTTCTCTTGCTCCTAGTGAAAAATCGTTAGGGAAGGGCCTCGGTTGCATCAATTAGTTTGCACAAAGTGCTTCGGTGTTTAGCTTCGCTTTAACCCAATTAAGCCGCACAGCGAGCCCAGAAAGATGCGCCACCTGCGCCAGGCTGCAGTCGTCGGCCACGGTATCCCGAGTCCCCTCTGTCTGACACAGGGAACTACCAGGGCCTCGGCGTTGGAGTTACTTCGAGCTCCATAGGCCAGGGAAAGGAACCGGCACACGATATCCCGGGAAGGCCAGGGACAAGTATCCCTGGGTTGCACTGAGGCCTGAGTACAGGTCACACTAGGCAGGGGACACTCGAGGGCGGGAGGCGGCGAGAGCCGAGTGGTACGAGGGCACCGAGCGTGTTTTGCGACAGTGGAGGAAAGGGGAGACAGCCAGACATCCAGAAAGCTTTACAATTAGCCCGAGAACAGATGGACCAAAAAAGAGAGCTGGAGAAGACGCAAGGGCCCGCGGGGAGAGGTTGCCTGCTGCACCCCACCCTGATGACCTGCGCGTCCCCAGCAGCCTCTCCTGGCCGCACAGTCCTTTATCGTTTGGTCTGGCGCTCTGGGTTGCCTCCTCCAGCGCCTCTTCAGCTGCCAAAAGGTAGCAGTGCATTCACCCGCGACGCCTGCAAACTGGGGAGGGGCTTTGAATGTCCCTAGTCCACATTCCCAAGAGAACAGGAGGTCTCGGGGAAATGAAATAGACGGCATGGTAAGCCCCAAATGTTACGTACTATTTTAATCTAAATCGGAAGCTATCATTCTTGGATAACAAGAACCTAAATTAGAGGTGATACTTAAAAGTTGTGAGTCCTCAACAGAAGTCCAGTAACAGTGCTTACACAGGTGCTACTCTAGCCTTAGACTGGAAATTCTCTTAATGTGAGATAAACAGATCTCTGCACTAAAGGCAGGCAACTGAAAACTACTACGCAAGCAAGCCCTAACTACTCTTTCTTTAATTCATGTATACTGAGGACTCTTCTGGTGATGGTAGTGGGGAGGGGGAGCTCCCTAGAATATCTCCTTAGGGTTCTAAAATGTAGAGAGATTCATTTCTTTGAAATTTTCCAGGATGAAATTTAAATTAAAACAAATAAACCAACAAACCCAAACTTGAATGTTTACAAATTAATTTTTGAAGCCGTTGGCCATCTTCCTGTAATCAAATTATGAAATCCCAAAAGATTAGGACCAACCTACTGTTGATCACCACTAAGGATACCTGAGATGGGAGATCTCTCTTCAAGCCTGAATGAACAAACAAGGCTGAATGGTCACACCCTCAAGTGCTCAGTATTAAGCCCACCTCTTCGAATCTTCTCATCTAAATCTTCCCTCTAGCTCATCTAAATCCCAGAGATCTTGTGGAAAGCATCCCCTAAAGAGTGGACAGCCTTCACTGCTGTTTGTTATTTTCGCACTGGTCAGTCTAGCTACAGATGGGGGAACCGAAGACAGGTGAGCTTGTTTTAATCACCCCTATTTTAACTGGGTAGACATTATCTACCCGACTCAGCAGTCATTTTCAGATTCCTCTCAGCGAATGAAAGTGGGGGGAAACCTAGGTAAAAAGAGAACATGTTCCGCCTAAGGTTTTGAAAAGTGTTCTGATTGGGAACACCCAACATGGAGAAAAACCGGGAGCACTCCTCCATCTGAAGCTAGCAGTCTGTTAGAAGCAAACTTCTAACTTGCTTTAAAAAGACCCCAAGGATTAACGGGCATTAATTACCTTCCTCTAAATGCAAGTTAGTGACACTGTTCTAGAAAGCCCCTTTGACTTCACTAATTGGTGGGTGACCATTAGTACACCTGGATAGCTCATCAGAGGTGAACAGACAAGCAGGCTTTACAGCACAGCGAGCCACTTCTCTTGGCCAAATCTTTTCCAAGTGTCAATATGCTTCAAGTTATACCAAAGCCAGATTTTCTTTTGCTTTCTAACCTGTCTAGGTGGCCTGGGTGGTTTTCTGCCAGCAGCAGCTTCCTACCTTTGGTTTCTCTGCTTCTATCCACGAGGGGGGATTAATTAGCCAGGCTGAAGCTGGGGGAGGCTGTCGTGACGAGCCCAGTGGCGATTGGCCGCCCGCCTGCCTGGCCCTGCCTTTATAATTTCCACACGAGTGCATCTGGGCTTTTACACAAACCAACAGCAGCTTCTTCTGACAGGCACACACTCACCCCGACATACACTCAGCACACTTTTCCTCCGTCTGATTAACAGTCCTGCACATACCATGATTACGGGAAAACTTAAATAAATACGGAAAGGGTGACTATTTTGACTACTGGAAGAGCTTTGTTGGGATTCAGCGCAACTTTTGTTTTTATTACGGAGAAGGTGCTCTCTGCACGCGTCTCTCTCAGACAAGGATTCTTTAGCGGAGGAGAAAGTAGAAGAGTGCAGCCTTTCACTTTAAGACCGGCTAGGCTC